ATAATAAAATTATCATTTATTCATATATTATTATGCATTATGTGTTTTTCCAAGTAAATTGTTAATTGGTTATTTGCATGATACTATGCAAAGATAGCAAGGTGAGGAATATAGGTAGATATTTTGAATTAAATTTGAATTTGAGAAGATTGCCTATTATGATTTTTATTTTTAGCTTTTTTCTAATTTCATTTTTAGGTTTAACAACATCAATTTTTTACAAAGATTTATATTATTTTAAAAGTTATAAACTAATAAATGAAAAAAGGAAATTGTATAATAATCTTTCATATTTTATTGTATGTAGGGAAATGTCTTTAAGAATCAAAGTCTAATCTTCATCATTTCATTCCTCCTTGAATTCAATGATAGAATGTTCATATATAATGTACTTTGGCAGGTTCATTTACATTTGTTTTATATTGGAAATATTCGTGGCTTGAAATTTTATTTTGGTATTTTAAAAGGCACAAAAATATTTTGGGCAATGTAGAGTGATGTACATTTATAAGCCCCATTTTATTGAAAAAGCCACTGCAAAGCAATGTAACGTTCCTGAAACTTTGTGTGGTATTTAAAGTTCTAGGACTGATGATTATATTTGAAATATGAATTCAGTTATAAGAGGCTTTTTAGTCAAGTGCTTGAGCGCTTGTTATAAAAATACAAATAAAAAGCCTTATGTTATACCAATAACAATATCTTACATAAACACAATTGTTTAAGATGATAATTGAATGGCGCAATATGGCTTTTAAAGTGGCTTAATGTTTTATTAAGAATTAATAAAATTTCAGTAATTTTATTGGATGTTCTATTTCTGTAGAATGAACTTAATTTTGATTGATACACTGTGCTTATTTAGAAACTAAATCTATGAAAAATATATATACTTAAATGTACTAAAATAGACTTAAAATACAATTAAAACTATCTGATGAAAAGATAGGAACCAAACATAATGAGTAATATGAGTAATAATAACTTGTAATTAGATAATTAAATAATATTTATTTGTAATAATGTGATATAAAAGATATATGATATAATATACCTATAAGTAATTATTATATATATAATATAATAAGTGTTGAAGAATTTTATATTTTTTAATGTTTTTAATAGAAAGTTTTAAAAACATTTCTAGATATTTTCTTTTTTGTAAATTTCGGGTTCAAGAGCGGAATGCAAAAATACATGGTACATTTCACAATAGGTGTTGTCCTACCATCAAAGTTTTTTTTGATAGATGTATAATAGAATAAGCATAATTCGCATAATAATACAATATGAGTCAAATTGTAGTATCACCAAATTTCAGATTTTTTGATTGATAAAATCATTGATCATCAACAATCAATAAATGTATATTTTATTTAGATTGAGTAAATTTACAAGCAACTTCATATAAAATACTACTTAATGATTAACCAATTGTCCTTATAATATAATCATACGTGGTAATCTTTAATCTATCAAAATTTTGCACTTTTAATATTATACAACCCAAATCACTTCACTTCATCTTTAAAATCAAAACAATTCATCATCATAAGTTTTCGCAAAATTAAATTTTTTAATAGCCAAATACTTAACGGTCTTAACCCTTTTCTTTTTCATAATATATTCATTTATAGAGGGTAAATCACTTTGGTCATTAAATATCAATAATTTCTTAATAAAGGTATTTTGAGAATTCTTTAGAAGCACTTTCAATGTGGTAAAGTTTAAAATGTAAATATTTTAATTTAGAAGGAAGAATTTGTCCTAAATTTTGTATTATTATTGAACTACATTCAGTTCGAATCACCATGGGCTGTACATTAACATTTTCAATTAAATATAATTTTGATAAGTAAACTGACTTCCAATTGTATAAAAATCAAAACTAATTTTATATTTTTACAATATTTCAAATAATAATATTTTTGATGCTTCATAACTGGAATTAAACCTAAAGTTATTGTATTTAAAGTATTTGAACAATTGTATATATTTGATGATAATAATGATTTAAATAAAGATAAATAATTTTTATTTATTAAAATTTTCTTAAGATTTTGACGTAAATGAACTATTGATTGTAATATGGAATTTTTAATTATCCTACATTGATACTATAAAATTTCAAATTTCTAATATTGTGAATTAATTCAAGAATATTATTGATAAATTCGTTACAAAAAATCATTGTATCCTCAATTTCGAGGGTATGTAAATTTACTTCATTTTCAAAAAATATTGTTAATAGTGGTACATATATATTTAACCTATTAATATGACATAGTGAATAAAATAAAATTATATGTATTTAAATATTTTAAAAAACTAAGATAATTGAATAGCGTATTTGAAGGTATGTAATGAATTATCAATAATTTTATATCTATTTAATATCATCATTTAAGTATTAGTTATTTACTAATCTAGTAGTATATAAATGGGTTATCATCCAAAGGATGATGACCCATTTATATACTAAACTAGATCAGTAAATTACTTTTTTATCATCCTAGATATACTAATTGGTCCGCCAGTTTATAACTGGCGGAAAAAATCCTAAATACCAGGTGATTAGTAAATATTAATAACACGATATTTTGATTTTCCCATAATAACGGAATCGTTAAACGACACCATAATCTGTTAACTAAAATGCATGAATGTAAAGTTGAATAATCCTTTTGGAAATATTTTATAATTTTATATGTTAAAAGGGGAGGTATCAAATTGTTGTTATTACGCCGATCTTAGTAAATTTATATTCATTTTCGGGAGTGATTGATTCCGATATTGTCGCACAATTCGTCATATTTTAATATTGTTATGAAGTCGCAGTAACTGATCGATCAAATTCATAAATTCATGGCATAATTGATATTTACAACTGGTGCTCAAGCACAGGTGTCACGTAATAATATATATCACGTAACTTCGAAACTTTTGGTTATTACCTTTGATATTACTATTATGAAAAAAAAAACTCTTTCCGCTTTCCATCATTTTTATTAAATTTCCGCAGTAACTCACCAAAAATAAATAAATAAATAAATATCTACGAGGAGAGAGGATCACGGGGTGGCCTCTGATGGAAAGTACTCCTCTAACTTACCCTCCGACTTTCAGGAAAGATGGACATAATATATCCAGACCTAGACGCTCTCGCCATGTCTGAAAGTCTAAGTTCTGGCCACGGCCTTATTTCTGCTCCGACTTGTAGCCTCTGGATTCCTCAAAAAGAACGTGAAAACCATCGCAATACACCACGCACAATTTTACTACTTAAACCCTGATGGGTTCCCTAAAAAAGGCAGTATATACAAACTTAAACCGCAATATATTGACTTGTGGATTATACAAACTTTTGCCCATACCTTAGACCAGGCCTCTTTGGATCGGCTTAGTCACATGCACAACAACTCAACAAGATAACTTACCCCTTATGAAAATGTACCACGAACATTTTGATACATCATAGCTCGAAATCGAACCGATACATTTACACGCTAACATCGCTGAAATTTCCTATTTGGGGAAATTTTTATACAAAGAAACTTACTTATATTGATTTTATATATAAAAAGCAAAACCTTCCAGAACTTTTCTGTAAACAACCACGTGATAAGTATCATACGAAGATCTCCTCACTATTCGTTGACAGCTCTTACTGAGAAAATCCAACCTAGAATCTAACTACAACCCCATCACAGAGTCACTTACGAAACATCGGTGGCTCTCAGAATACACCCTCTTTCTGTTCCCAGCTTTTTCATTTTATTTCGTGGTGGAAGTTAGTGGGCTTTATATAGCTCTTTTACGTACAATAGCAGTTATAAATGATAGAAAATTTTTTCAGCGTCCGGGTTTATCGTGTCGAGGGTTTTTTTCTTTCTTTTTTTATTTTTTTTTTCTCTTATGTACAATGCAGGTCATGCCTAGCGTTTGTTTTTTATAAATAACAGGCAATACGATCACTTTTTCGGAGGAGGTTGGGTTTTAACGTTCAGATAGGTATTGTAGTTTAACCTTTTGTAAGGGCTCTATCCTTCAGGCTCGTTGGACCTCCGTCATTGTCTACATGTAAAAAATCAAATAAAATAAAAACATAAATAATATTTAATATTATTCGAAACTTATTGTTATTATAAACTGAGAATCTTTATAATACAATAGACTAATCTTTATTGTTTTGAGTACAACTATTTAACTACATAACTTTACAACCTTGCTAATCTATACAAAGCTAAACTAATACATAACTATCCCAAGTATTCATTTTCTTTGTAACTCAACGAGTTTTATTACGACTGTAAATGGTCAATTATGGTTAAAAAATATTCATTATAATTCGAATGTCGTGATTTGTTAGAAATGAACAAGTTCAAAATAAATCACATTTAATATATTTTACATTTTATAGTGTTAACTCCCCTTTAATCATGAACTCTTGTTGCTTAATAATGTTTATTTGTCATATTTTGTTAGTATTTTGTATATCAATCAATAACAAAAATCAATACTTAAAATAAAAAAATTTTTTTTATTATTATTTTGTAAACAATTAATTCCTCTCTAAAAGGAAATTTATTGAAATTTAAATTTGTAAGTGAAATGAATTGTCTTACACGTACTTTATTATTAAAAAAAGGGTAATAAAAAGGAAAACAACAGATAAAAAAGGAGAATAAGGATTAAGATTATGAAGTTATAGACTTCTAGGATTTGATGGAGTTAATGAAGTATTTAGTAAATCTTATAATTATAATAGGAGACAGACACAAACTAACACAAACCACCGATTTTATTAAGTTGTTAAAAGTTAATTATAATTATTCATATGAATAAAAAGATGTATATAAAGGTAAATACGTCATGATTAGGTAAATAAAAGCTACAATATAACCATACGTATTGATATTGTTGAGTAATTGATTTAATTGATTGCAGATATTGATATCATTTGATCATTGTACAACAAAAAAAATAATATTTATACAGTTCTTTTCTTTTTCTTAATACATATCTCTCCTCCATCTCTTTCATTCCTCCTTCAAACACAACTAAATATTTTTTTTATAAATATTTTCTTTTCAAATAAATATCTAACAAATACCTTTTTTTCACACGCAAATAAATACCTTTTTTTTCACGCGCAAATAAATACAATAAATACCTTTTTTTACGCGCAAGTGAATACCTTTTTTTCACGCGTAAGTAAATATCTTTTTTTCACGCGCAAGAGAAATACCTTTGTTTTCACGCGCAAATAAATACAATAAATACCTTTTTTTTCACGCGAAAGTGAATACCTTTTTTCACGCGTAAGTAAATATCTTTTTTTCACGCGCAAGTAAATACCTTTTTTTTCAAGTACCTTTTTTCACGCGCAAGTAAATACTAAAACGGAAAAAAAGATAGATCAACATCAAGAACTGTATTTACTGCCTTTGGACAACATATGGGTAATGAGTTTCATTAGCTATTAAAAACTTGTTTGTAAGTTTAGACGTTTTGTGGTTCTTGCCAAATTTGGTACCTACTATATTTACGATACTGCAGTTTTATTACTGTTATCATTCTTCCTTTGGTTACGCATCGCGAATATTCACTTGTTTTTCCTTCTCAATAGAGCTTGTATAGGAAGTAATGAATATTCAAAATACCGCCGAACTTACCGCTCTGGAAAACTCTTCTCTTAAAGCCTCTATTCACGCTCCAGCTTCTGGTTCCGTTCTTCTCATTCTCCTGCGGATCCTCTTCTACTACTAGAGCTCCTTCGATAGGGGACTAGCTAACACTAAACGAGGCTAGGTTGAATCATTAAGTGGTAAGTATAATTATAATAGTTCGCCGGATGGACGTATGTGTAGGTGTAACACTGCAGGGTTCACTGAAAGTCTTCCGGATGGTGAACTGTTATGATTGACATAGGGGTTTATGTGCTCGTAGTACGTACCATTTGCTACAGGCTAGTAGCTATCTGCTTTTGTGCACTAAGTCATAGCTACAATGATGCCATATAGGTGATCCCCAAGCTGATCCATATGGAAGGGAAGGCCAGGTTCCCGTTTGAAATGACACATATCTCCTATGCCATGTCACTTACTTAATTATTGTTATTGAATATTATATGAGTCCATTTACCATAGATCCTATGATGGCCACATGGGTGTCCTGGGGTTCCCTGCTTAGGCATAATTAACAGGGTGGTAAACCTCATATGGTATGAGGTGATAGTGACTAAAAAATTTGTAAATTTTGTTCTTTAAAATAGGTGTCTTAACGTTGGCGCCAGTGAAATTCTTACTTCTTATGCAATTATGGCTATTAATCAGGGTAATTCTGAAGGGCAGTTGAAGATGTGAGCTGGGATATAGATTTTTACTCCCATAGACAAATAGAACTTTTCAATTATAGAGTTTTTCTTTTTTTTTTAGTTTTATTTTTGGTTATTTTTCTTTTTATTCTTGTTGTTTTCTTTTTTCTTTTAATTATATATGTAGCTATTTTTTCTTATTCGTTTCTCATTCTGTTTGAGGTTACATTTAATATTGACTTAGTAATATTATGTTATTTGTTAAATATATAGCTTTTTATTTAAATTAATACGTTTTTTACATTCATGATATCTTTATAATTAATTGGATTTGGGGAAAATTTTGTGTATAAATGTATATGAGCGTATGAAGTTATATAGTACGTATATATGATAATAAAGTACACAGACATAATTGTATTTAGTGTAAAAAATATATAAAATTATGATGATCTACTAGCATTAAAAAATATAGTGCCAGTAAAATTTGATAATTCCGGCCAACGGTGATAATCACCCCCGGTGATTTGAAGTAAAAATCTTATTTTTTATCCCACGGTTCCTAATAATAATTCATGATACTTTTTTCTTGATATTCTCACAATGTTTATTAAAAGGTGGATAAAAAGTTTAGTATTGGACAAGAAAATTATTAGTTAAAAAGGTATATTAAAGATTTTTATGGTCGGAACTGTGATATAAAATAGTTATTTCACGGAGTCACTGGAGTATCATGATTTCACAATTCCGCTATAAAATAACTATACTATCCATCAGTATATATTTTTTATGTACATAAGATAATGTATTTTATATTATGAAATATACAATAAAACATGCTAAAGAAAAATATGTTTTGGTTGAACTATGTAAACTTACATTTTTATTTTGAATATTTTCGCTAACAGGGCGTTTTCATTTAACAATTTTATTAAATGCTAGTTAAAACCATAAAAACTTTTAAAAAATGATTATTATTACAAAAATACTATTATTAGAGTTTTCTTAGTCTATAAAAAACTTCTTATCATTAATAAGCTACTAATATATTCCTGTTTAAATTAATTTTAATCGCTATATTTTGAAGCACAACAATCACAAACGAAATTAGAAATGAGACATTAAATCCATCCTTATATAATTTGACAATTTAACAGTAAATAATAATAAATTTAAGTGTAACAAAGACATTTTTTGCATACACAGCGAACATTTGTATTTGCCTTTCAATTTAGATAATACTTTTGCATAATACTTACGATATAGATAGCTATGAGAAATTCTTTGAAATGTTTCTTGTTTTCTGACTTGCTTCTTCAACCACTTTTTCATAATTTGAGGTTATAAATTTCGTAAATACAGAACCTTGATCATGTGAATCAAAGTAATTCATTCAATTTCCTTTCACTGTCATATTGTCTAATGTATCATATAATGTGAACTGGAATCCAAACAGGTACCATCCATCTAAAGAAATTTGATAGTGCAGGCTATGCTTTAATATTTATATTTGTTTATTAGTTGTAGTGATTTTGATTTATTTTTTATTTTTATTTTTATGTTTCAGATGTAACCCAATTGAAGTACAAATTACAAGGACAACATATAAATGAGCCGAAAGTAATTCTATCGCTAACAATCAAACCGCCTACGGAGGCGATGTCTCCTGACCTTGAAGATAAATGAGAAATGGATCAGATCCAAGATCGTCACCAGAACTCACGTGCCAGCCCGGAAAAAAATAAAATATGAGAGCACACATAACAATACTATCTAGTATTTATATAATTTCCTATAATATTATAATTAAAAGAAGAAAATAAATCTATATTATCAAACCAAAAATTATCACGATGAGTGGTCCAAGGCCTTGAATGTAAAAAATTACTGGAAGTCCATCTAATATGGACTTCATTATTATAAAATTCACCCGTGCGACTATACGGGATGGTAGGAATTTGTCTATGAGTATAGGTACGACGCAAGGTTGAATCAGATTGGATGTTATCAGGCGGAGAAGAGTTATCGTTTGAATGGTAACGTCGTCTATAAAATTTCTTTTTGACTTTCGTAATAGAGAGATTCCGTTCCCATTCCTTGACGTGAGCGTTACGACAATTCCAAATTGATAAATCAATTTTTTCCATAATAATGTTCATAAATTTGATAAAAATCGAAAATCGTGATTTTTTATCCGTTATATAATTGTAAAAAATTAACGTTAGGTCACTTGACACCAAATGATGAATTAATAGGTAACAAGGATGGTCGGTAGGTAACGATCCGACAAAATTTACGTCAAATAATCGAGAACTATTAATAGTCTCTTCCAAAGCGTGGTCCTTTTCATTAACATGTTCTTTAATCAAGATTAATATAAAGTTTTTCTTTGTTCACTCAAAATGTGATGTATGTCATCGGTGTGTGCCGGGCATAAGCCCACATGTTCATTGTTATCCTTCATATTTTGCATTCAATACAGGGAATTTTTCCTAAAGGATATAAGCGGGGATAATTACGTTGTTGAATATCAATCGTCGGATATATAAAATTACATTTTTTCAACCTTGCACCTTGTCGTTTTGATAATTTAGCACTACAAGGAGCATCAGTAGGATTGTGGTTTAACCATTCTTTAGTAAAAGTCCAATCGATATCACCATCAATAATCTGTTGTTTTATAGGTGTTAACGAAGTGTTGTTGACCATGGAATTAAAGATCAGTGGTTGAATAACATTTTGGGACCATTTTCTTACGTTGCGACCGATCACGTGCTTATTATTCCACGAGACGATCCCAGGAATTTGTTGATAAAAAAATTTATGGTTAACTATGATGGATCTTTAATATGAGCCCCTGCCTTTGCGAGTGTATCGGCTATGTGCCTATGTTATTATTATCATCATCGCCATGTCCTTTCACTTTGCGTAAGGTGATTAATAAATGTTTTTCCTTAATTAAGAAAAATATTAAATCCCAAATAAGAAAATTAGTTTGTTTCAATTTTTGTCTAGGGCTGATAATTGGTGAATTAAGGAGAGTTTCAAAAACGTTAATACAACTAGCAGAATCCGTATAAATGTTTAAACTACAGTTATATGGTGAAACGATAATAGCTGTTGAAATTCCCATCGCTTCACTTTTCGTAGACGACGGGAAGAAAACGGTTGAACCTTTAAAAGACAATCGTGGCGTATTCGGTTGTAGTGATTTTGATTCATTCAAGTATATTCTCTAGAGACGTTTATCATGTATCACGTGAAATTTAAATATTTATTAAGCAAGGGAGTCGCATAATTTTAATTCAACAGTAAAAAAATTGATTTATTATTAACTTTTAAGTATATAAAATGATGGAAGTTGAAACGAAAAATAATAGATCTTTTACACTAGTCATATTGAATATATAAATAAGTATAATTTATTAACTATGAAAGTTAAAATTATGAATAATTTACAATTGATAAACATCAATACTAGCAACAAACCAAATTAATAAATTACTATATTAATTTTAGTCTTTAATTTAAATCATTTGTTTTAAAGAAATTTCCAATCTTTGACCTCTAAATATTAACCTTCATTCAAACATTCTTGTACTTCTTGTACTTCTTGTACTTCACTTTGTTCGTGCAATAATAATGCAAGACATTTTTCTGCGTCACAATTTCCTCCTTCAGCTGCTGCTTTATATAAATCAAATGCCTTTTCTTTATTAACGTCAACTATAATTCCGTGACAAAAATAATTTCCAATTTTATATTTTCCATTTATACATCCTCTTTCAGCTGCTTGATTATAATAATCAAATGCTCTAGCTTCATTTTTATTAACACTTTTTCCTAATTCATAAATCTCTCCTAATTTAAATAATGCTGATTTATTATCATTTTCTGCTGATTTTTGATACCAATATTTGACTTCATTTAAATCTTTTACTAATTCTTCTTCATTTTCGTAAAATGACTTAAGTAATTCACTATTATTTCCCTTCTCAGTTGCTTCATTATATAACTCAAACCCTTTTTTCTTATTAATTATTGTTCCAATTCCATTTACATAACAATATCCAAGATGAAATAATGCATTTACATATCCTTTTTCAGCTGATTTATTATATAATTCGAATGCTTTGACTTCATTTTTATCAGCGCCTACTCCTAATTCATAACATATAGCTAAGTTGTCACATGCAACTTCATCACCATTTTCTGCCGATTTTTGAAACCAATAAATAGCTCTTTCCAAATTCTTTTCAAATCCCTCGCCCTTTATATATAAATATCCAAGGTTATTTTGAGCAGTTCCATGTCCTTTTTCAGCAGCCATCTCATACAGCTCAAATGCTTTTATTTTATTAACTTCAACTCCAATTCCTTTAAAATAACAATATCCAAGTGCAAATTGAGCATTTAAAAATCCTTTATCAGCTGATTTTTTATAATATTCAAATGCTTTACTTTCATCTTTTTCAACACCTTCTCCATTTTGATAACATCTTCCTAGACTATAGGTTGCTACTTCATTTCCATTTTCTACAGCTCTCATATACCAGTAAATAGCTTTATCTAAATCAATTTTTGTACCTTCACCATATTTATATAAGTTACCAAGATTGTTTTGTGCGTGATTGTTTCCTTTTTCTGCAACAATTTTATATAATTCAAATGCTTTTGCTTTATCAATATCAATTCCAATTCCTTTATCATAACAATATCCGAGTTCAAATTGAGCATATAGATATCCTTGATCAGCTGATTTCTTGTAATACTCAAAAGCTTTTATTTCGTTTTTTTCTATACCATTTCCATTTTGATAACATCTACCTAGATTATATTGTGCTTCCTTGCATTTATTTTCTGCTGCCTTGTCATACCAGTAGATAGCTTTTCCTATATTCTTTTCAGTTCCTTCACCATTCTCATATAACAATCCTAAATTATTTTGTCCTATGATATGTCCTTTTTCAGCAGCTATATTATATAGCTCAAATGCTTTTTCCTTATTAATTTCAATTCCAATTCCATTACTATAACTATATCCAAGTTCAAATTGAGCATCTAAATGTCCTTGATCAGCTGATTTTTCATAATACTCAATTGCTTTTTTTTCATCTTTCTCTACACCATTTCCATCTTGGTAACATCTACCTAAATTATATTGTGCTTCTTTACATTCATTTTCTGCTGCTTTGTCATACCAGTAGATAGCTTTTTCTAAATTCTTTTCAGTTCCTTCACCATATTCAAATAATAATCCTAAATTATTTTGTGCAATAATGGATCCCTTTTCAGCAAGAATATTATATATCTCTAATGCTTTTACTTTATTAACTTCAATTCCAATTCCATTGATATAACAGTATCCTAACTTAAGTTGTGCACTTAAATAATTTTGATCAGCCGATTTTTTATAATATTCAAAAGCTTGTCTTTCATCTTTCTCTACACCATTTCCACCTTGATAACATCTGCCTAAATTATATTGTGCTTCTTTACATTTATTTTTTGCTGCTCTATCATACCAGTAAACAGCTTTTTCTAAATTCTTTTCAGTTCCTTCACCATCTTCATATAATAATCCTAAATTATTTTGTGCTGAATTATTCTCTTTTTCAGCAGCAATCTTATATAATTCAAATGCTTTTGTTTTATTAACTTCTATTCCGATCCCTTTGTCATAACAATAACCAAGTTCAAACTGAGCATCTAAATATCCTTGATCAGCTGATTTTTTATAATATTCAATTGCTTTAACTACATCTTTTTCAACTCCTATTCCAAATTGATAATGACGTCCTAAGTCGTATTGTGCGATTTTATATCCATTTTCTGCAGCTTTGTTAAACCAATAAACTGATTTTTCTAAATCTATTCCTGTACCTTCACCATTTTTATATAAAATTCCAAGATTATATTGAGCAATAGTATGCTCTTTTTTAGCTGCTATATTATATAATTTAAATGCTTTAATTTTATTAATTTCAATACCAATTCCATTATCATAACAACATCCTAATTCAAATTGAGCTTCTAAATATTCTTGATCAGCTGATTTTTTATAGTATTCAAAAGCTTTTTTACTATAATTTTCTACACTTTTATTACTTTTATAATAATTACCTAAATTAAATTGTGCGAATTTATTTCCATTATCTGCTGCTTTACTGTACCAATAAATAGCTTTTTTTAAATCTTTTTTTATTTCAATCTCGTTTTGGTAATAATTACCTAATATATATTGTGCTGGTGAATATTCTCCTTTAGCTGATTTAAGATACCATTCAAAGGCTAATATGTTATCTTTATTGACTCCCATTCCATTTTGATAACAAACACCCAAATTATATTGTGCATGTAAATCACCTTTATTAGCAGCTTTTAAGTACAATTCAAATGCTTTTTTCTCATCTTTTGTTATACCAATTCCATTTTGATAACAATAACCTAAATTATTTTGAGCATCAGAATTTCCACCTTCTGCAGATTTTAAATAAAATTCAAATGCTTTAAATTCATCTTTCTTTTTTCCTACACCATGTTGATAACAATAACCTAAATTATTTAATTCTATTATTAACTTTTTCTTTTCTATTTGAATTTCATTTAAACCTTTATCTTGTGATTGAAAATATTTTTCCATAGTACTTATTTCATCTTTACATATATTTATTTCTAAACCATTAAAATTTTCAACTTGATTATGTGACATTACATGATGTACATTATCAAAATAATCAAAATCTTTTATAATTAAATCTCTCTTATTTAAAATAATATCTTTATAATAATAAAATGATAATAAATATTTTGAAATAATAATATTTAATAATTGATACATAGAAATTAATTTTTTATTCTTATAATAATTATTAATTGATAATAAATATAATTTTAATGATTTATTTTTATCAATGATGATCGTTTCACCTATACCATATTCATAAAAAAATCCTATTAAACTTGTGAACCAATTATTTTCTTTATCTTTATTATGATTTTCCATTAATTTTAGAATTTTTTCAATATTTTTTTCATTAATATTAAAAAAATCTTTTATCCATTCTTTTAAAATATTTTCGAAATTTTTATAATTATTTATTTTTATTATTTGATGATAAAAACCTTTTAAAAATTCTTTTAAAAAAGTTTCGTCATTATTTAATGTCATGATTGTGTTTTTTTTTGAGAAAAATCTTTATGAATAATATATATATATATATTTTTTTTTTTGAAAAAAAAAAAAAAAAATTTTAATCGGAATTTTTGTTTTACTTTTTTTTTTTGGTTTTTTTCCAGCCGATCTAAATTTTTTTTTCCCTTTTCCTTTTTCGGTTTGGTTTTTTCTTTCAAACCGAATTTTTTTTTCCCAAATACATTCTTTCACTATTTAGGTTTGAATCGATGATCAGATCAAATGTTGCGGCGCCACAGCAATTGTAATAATATTATTTTTTTTGTATCAAACTCAATAAAAAAAAAATTTGTCTGACGTTTGGATTAGTCTCCGTATAAATAATTTGATAATTAAAACCCGTGACATGCCTCAGCCTGATCAATTCCAATCAACTAATCCAATTTCAGTTAATAAATTTTTACCTTAATCGAAATTTTTTTCTTTGATTATTAATTTTTTTTTTTTCAAATATTTTAACTTTTTTTGGTTCCTTTTTTTTAAAATTTTTCAAACCGAAAAAAATTTTTTCTCCCTTTTCTTTCAGGCCTGAAAATTTGTTTTTTCTCATTCTTTTCCCGTTTAGGTTTAATTTTTTTCCCAAACCGAAAAAATTATATTTTTTTTTTATTAAATAATCCCATTGTTTTGGTCTTTTAAGACCAATTTTTTTTTTCACTCTCTTGGATCGGATTATTGTCCTTTTTTTTCCAGAATTTTTTTCGTACTTATTTTTTTTTCGGTTTCCTTTTTTTTTCAGAAATTTCCCTTTTTTTTAAACTGATTTCTTTCTTTATCCTTTTTCTTCCCCCCAAATTTTTTTAAAATTTATTTTTATTATTAAATAAAAAATAAAATATTATATTAAATATATTTACAAAATTATTATTTTTTTAAAAAAAATCAATATAACACAGATATAGGAAAATTGACCGACGTTGATAGAAAGATGAGTAAGATTTTTTCAATTAAATTGAACACTGGATAAATAGTTTGGTTTTTCAAATTCCAATTAATCAATTATAAAATATGTAAAAATATCATTTTTTTTTTGAAGAAATTGTTAATTTAATAATAGATTATTATAACCAAATCCATATCCAAAATTCTCTAAATAACTACCAGNTTTTTTTTTTTTTTTTTTCGGATTCCTTTTTTTTCAGAAATTTCCCTTTTTTTTAAACTGATTTCTTTCTTTATCCTTTTTCTTCCCCAAATTTTTTTAAATTTTTTTTTTTATTATTAAATAAAAAATAAAATATTATATTAAATATATTTACTAAATTATTATTTTTTTAAAAAAAATCAATATAACATATCATCAGATATAGGAAAATTGACCGACGTTGATAGAAAGATGAGTAAGATTTTTTTCAATTAAATTGAACGCTGGATAAATAGTTTGATTTTTCAAATTCATAAAAATCAATCAATTAATTTAATTAATTATAAAATATGTAAAAATATCAATATTTTTTTTGAAGAAATTGTTGATTTAATAATAGATTATTATAACCAAATCCATATCCGAAATTCTCTAAATAACTACCAGATTTTTGAATAAAGATTTTAATTCTGGTTTAGTTAAATTAAGTACCAAAAGAATAATAATAAATGAAATGAATAGATTCTATAAATACATTTAATTATTCAAATATTTTTTTTTAAGTTGGTTATAAGTGCAATATAAAATAAGAAATAATTATTAAGTTAATAATTAATAAAAAAATTAATCAAAAAAATGAGGGTGAATGAAAAAATAAGGAGAGTAAAAGGGAATAAAAGAAACAAAGGGGGAGTGAAAGAAACAAAAGGAACGAAAAAGATCAAGTGGGAATGAAAAAAATGAAAAGAATGGAGGGGAACGAAATGGAGCAAAGGGAATAAAAAAATGAAAGGAACAAAGGGTAGTGTAAAGAGAAGTGGGAATGGAAAATGACAAAGGATAGTGTAAAGGAACGAAAAAGATGAAGTGGGAATGGAATAAAAATGAAAGAAACAAAGGGTAGTGTAAAGAAATGAAAAAGACGAAGGAACGAAGAGGAAATGAAAAACAATGGAAAAAATGAAGGAAGGGAAGAATAAAAAGGGCAAAAGAGATGAAGAGACAAAAAGAAAACAAAAAAATGGAGAAGGGACAAAATGAGATAAAGTAGATTTTTCCCATGTATTCAGGTTAAACCTTATTGACTTCAATTTGAACCTTCTCATACTCTTTCATTATTCTAAAAATTTCAATTTGCTGATCAAAGGTGCGTTGTACATTATACAGTAGTACGACAGTCTCAAAAATAATTATCCAAATTCAGTTAGTTACATAGTAACTAGTGTACATTTGGATCTGTGAGTTTTAATGCTGAAAATAAAATTTATGCTAAAAATTAGAGGTTAATTCAATAATAATATTAATAATCTTACTGATTATAACTGATTAATTAATTTGGTTAATATAAAAAAAAAAATATTAAAAATTTTTTACTCATATGTTTAGGAGTATATCTTTATTCAGTCAAGTCTGGTCGCCTACCTGAGTACAGTCATGTGCATTTTACTGCAGACTCTACAGATTTTGCAGATCCTCAGTCCGGTAAAATTCCAGGAGTCAAGAGTCACATGAATCATCAAATTAATCATAGATTAGATTAATAACATAGCCACATTTTTATTTGCATAATTTTTTATATTTTTTCGCGTTTTCTTCTTTCCTTTTGCGCTATTTTCGTGTTGTTTTCTTTTTTTTTCGTGTCTTTTTTCTGAATTTTTTTACACTACCTTTCTACCTTTTCTTAACAAAAATGAGCTGCTCTACACCTCAAATATTAGATGATGTTAGTTATATTTCTTTACCTAATTAAAAGTGTCATGAAATGTTAAACAATAATAAATTTGTTATTATTTTTTTTTTTAGATATCTGCTGAATTGCCTGAATATAGTGGAGATTTTGATCTTGACAAAGAAAATGAAAATATAAATTTAATAACAGATAAAATGAGAGTTGGCGAAATCAGATATTCTGTATTGCCAATGGAATATCCATCAACTTCTGCTGAAGGAATTGCAATAGTATATAACATTGAAACTTGGGATAATTATGAACAAGCATTTAATAATGTAAGCAGTATATTTAAATTGTAATATTATATTTTAAGAAATTGGTAATCATTTGTATTTTTTTTATGCAGATGCAGTACTTTCAAGGTCGTCCCTCTGGAGGAGGTGATACATCTATATGGATGGTGTCCTTTTCTAGGATGCCATGTTAAAAAGTATATTCGTACATGCCAAGGTATAAAGGCATGTGAACATCTTAATGAAGATCTTAGAAATAAAGTTCATACAGAGGTTGATATGGATCAAGACTTTTACCAAACTCCTAGTGAAGCAGCATTAGAACAAAGGACAAAGGAAGCCAAAACATATACGTAAGTATGGATTAATAAAATACATTAGTTAATATAAATGCAAAAATACTTATTTTTACTTTTTTTTATTAGAAAATACCTTGCTACAACTGCTATACATTGTCCATATGATAATGGAAACTGTAAAGGTCATTTTGTTTCTCGAAAACAAACAAGGCAGATATCTTCTGCTACTGAGGAATGGTTTATAGGTTGTAGTAATTGGTGTGATAAGGGTAAGAAAGGTAAACATTATTTTGAAAGACTAAAAAATGATGTTGATCCAGAACTCTTGGGAAGGTTATTTAATGGTGAGAATATAAGTATATCAATATTTCATAAGTTATAATTTTAGTATGCATATTATTTATTTAAATTGCTAATATATATCACTACTAGCTTGTATCTATTGGAGAGATTGGAGAAGCAAATTCATGTAATGTTATTCTTTCGTCCAATTCAAGAAGAAAAACTTGTGGTAAATAAATGTTTTATCAAATATTAAATTTTTTTATTTGATATAATTAAAATTTTCAAATTTTTATTTTTTAGGATTTTTACATCAGCATTCTGATGATAGAATTAAAGAAGGCAGAATTGTTGAACACAAGTGTAAAAATAAATTTTACAAAATTATACCATTGGATTTGAAAAAAACACCATATGTTATACTTATATCAAAAGGTATTCATACTCATCATCCTCCTCCACCAAGTAATGTTCCTTCTGATATTACTGAGAAATTAAAAAAGATGATTGAGGTGGAAAGTGAAGAACTTGTAAATATTACAGCTAGGAAACTTATTTCAGGTAATTCCTAATTATTTTATTATTAATATGATTAACTGTTAATAATATTTAATTTATTTATTAAAGGCAATTTAATAAAAGCTACCTTTGGTAAGGAATATTTACCTCAGGTTCATGCCTCATTGAATAACATGGATAAGTTACGAAGACTTGTGGCAAAGGTTCAAAAAGCACATCATCTATATGGTCAAGGTATTCTTGGCCTTACTTATAACATTTGGAAATGTGAAGAAAATATCTTGGATATGTTCAACAATCAGGTACTATCAATTTTATTTAGTTTTTTTATTAATTATTTGATTAAAAGTTACATTATTTTTTATAGCAACTTTTTCAAATGGGCATATAATGGTTATCTGTATGTCTGAAGTTATGGCACATGCTTGGACAAAACTATAATATTTTGAAATTGATCTTTCATTTAAAAGAGTTCAAGGAGACATCAATGAATTTGAAGTTAATTGCTATGATTCACAACATAATATGAGTAAGTTTAAAAAATTATTTCAAATTAAATATAATTTCTAAGCTAATTGATTATTAATTTTATAGGTTTAACTTATGCACATGTTTTTACTAATATTGCTGATGCAATTGCTTATGAAAGAATGTTTAATGCACTCTTTGATTGGATATATCAGCTAACTGGCAATAAACCACAAATTTATCACATTCATCAAAAAGGATGGAAATGCATTTTGGGTGACTTAGACCAAGCACAAGCCAAAGGACTTGGAATGGCTTTACACAAAATACATAACTCTCTCACATGGGAAGAGCACTTGCTCCATATTTTTAAAAGTTGTCATATTCATTACAATAGGTAAAGTTAATATATTGTATTTATATTTTTATAAACTTATAATATACTGTATTATTTTATTTATAAACTTTATTTTTTTATTTTAGAAATGTAAAAAATAACAAATATTCTTATCAACTTAAGAAATTAATGTATGAATTTCCCAATGCAAGCACTACTGAACGTGTCAATCAAATCTTTGAAGAATTAGAAGCATCAGATGAATCTACTATTAAAGGTTTATAAAGTTTTGAATTGATTAAAATCATCTTGTAATATTAAAAAAAATATAATTCTCTTTTTAGATTGGATTGCATTCTATTCAAAACCTTGGGTACGTGCATCCTTAAATCCTATATATTCATTTATAGCTTTAGATATTTGGCAAAATGCACCAGACAATACCAATGTGGCAGAATCTTGTCATGCCAATTGTAATCGGGATGGAAAAGCATTACCTTTAGAAGCTGCAATATTAAAGTAAGTAATAAATTTATTATACAATAGTTTATTACATATGTAAAGTTGGCTAATTAAACTCATTATTAGAGCTAAAAATTCAATTTATATCTTGTGATATTCACAATTGTTATGGAGTTGCAAAATCTGGTAAAGACCAAGGAGTTGTAGCATGAAGCAAACAATCTGACGAGCTGGTAAAAAATCATTTAGTCTTTCATAATAAAGTATTTTTTGTTATTTTATTTAAATTATAAAATTAATATAAAAAATTCTCTTCCCATCACTTCTTTTCGTCTCCCATCACTCCTCTTCATCTTCTCATCATGCCATATTTCTCCTTTTTGTTAAGGGAGAGATCAACAATTTATATATTTATAAATTGAAGTCGTTTTTTTTTTTTACAATAACTTTCACTTAAAAGATCTTTTTAAAAGTATGTCAAACTCCCCCATGAAAATGACCTCTTGTTTATAATAAAGACTACTATAATCAATTTAAAACATTTAAATTTTAATATATTAATTTATTTTCATTTAGTAATAAAATAATAAAAACATAAGAGAATCTCAATGTTTAATTTTTAGAGAATTAAAAAATTCAAAGAATTAATGAGACTGATTTTGCACGTTGGGTGTGAAAAAAATGATATAACGTTTTTTATCATAAAAAATAAACAAATCTTATATTAATAGTGTCTTTTCTCTCATTTTTCTTTCTCCCTATCATCTTCTCCCCTTCTAATATTTTTAGCTTGATTAGAAAAATATTATTGGAAGTAGCAGTTATACATGATCATGGATACATACACCACAATTTTCATAGTGGGAAACGTTTTATAAGAATTTTTCAGAATCTTTTTGGAAGATTCAAATTATAGTGTTATACCAAAATATGATATATTATTATTACATAATAAATTTTTCGATATTAAAGGAACTCCAAAATCTTATTTGGATTTAATGATAAATGTTGGGATAATTCGCCTATTAATGAAATTATTAATATTATTGAAATTGAAGTGAAGCATTTTATTGTAGCTAAAAGCCTTTATCTGTTATACTGTATATGAATTTTGAAGTTATCTTAATTTGGGTAGGCTAAAAGCCATGTTCGGTCTATGGGAGTATGACAAATAAATTTATTTATTTTTTCTAGTAAAGATTAAAATAAAAATATACATTTTATAATTCGTTAAATAAAATTTATTATACCAAATACTATATACTTATTGTATAGTATTTAGGCAATAACGTGCTGTTTTCGATTGAGGCCATTTGATTGGCTCAGATTGTGCCACGAAGGGATAATCTTACCACACCACCTCGCGTGTTACAAATATTAATAGTGTTGGTTACACTGCATAAAGGATGTGACATTTTATGCAGGTGACAAATAGAGATCAGGCCACAAAAATTTTCTATTTATTTTATTACTAGAAGAGTAGTATGCTAAAACTATTACAAATAAGAGAAAAAACAACATTTACATGTTCATTAACTAATATACGTGTATAGAATTTTAGACATTAATCCCCTACGGGACCTCACCCTTCGAACTATCTATTCAAAAAGCTAGGACTATGCTAACTTTCTAAATGGAAAAAAGAAAAACTAAAAGTAAAACCCGTCCATCCGAAAGTTGAAGAAACCTAAAAAACAATCCAGAAAAAAATTTAAGAATCCGTATTTTTCTTTCGACAAAGTCGCCACTTGTAAATACTGTAAGAAGTGGAATATTTCACACTATTTTAAGTTGTTTTTTGAGTAAAATATATAAAATTGAATGAATAAAAATGTAGATTAAACTACTCGATAAAGGGTATTTGACTCCTAAGGTATAAAAATTTACATATGAATAAAAAATTTATTAGTATTAGTTGACGGTCCAACTACTGAGGAGTCATCAACATTTTCAGTAGAAGGGCGAGGACGTTTATGAGGATGTAAAGAAATGTTTGTTGATGAATTATCAAAACGAGTTGAATTGTGTTTGTTAGGTCAGCGTTCTATGGCTTTAGTATCATCTGATATCCCGTAATGAGTATCGGGAGCTACTTTTTTTAAATTGCTCAAAATTTTATTTAAATTTCTATTGAGATTTTTCTGTTTACGATCATTATTAATGTGGTCAGGATGATTCTTGTTTGCAATATGATGACGTATATATTCATCATATGTATTCTGTATGTGTGTTAAGCACTCTTGATGATGTAAGCGTGAACATAAATGTTTAAAAGTGGTGCCATGATAAGTAGCCTCTGCTGTGTTTCGTTCAATTTTAGCTTTGTATTCAGCATCAACCTCAGCCTGTTATCTACGAGCAATTTCATCAAAGCGTTGTTGTCTTCTGATTCTTCGTTCTAAATTATACATATAGGTGAACCATTCTCGAGATCCAGGTGGGATGTAAATTTCACCTTCAGTGGTAAAAATGTAAATAGGATCTTTTGGGATAATATCACAGTATTTCACTGGTATAAACATATTAGGAATCAGATTATATGTTTCAACCCAAGGGATTGTATCATCAGGAATTTGTGAGGTCAGAGCAATGTGAAGACAGGCATTAAGAAAATTCACGTTCTCCTTAATTATTTTTGAATGTTGATCATTAGTTACGTAGAAAGGTATATGGAATTTGTAGTTGTCTGTGTTCGGCATAACATTAGCCTTCTTGTATAATAAGTGTTTGATGGGTTTGTTGATATACTGTGATTTAACGAATAGGAATCAATATTTTCAGCCTATAGCCAAATAATCTAAGTGTTGAGCAGTACGTTCACGAGGTAATTTCATCTTACTAAAGACGTGATGACAAGCGCGATCAAAACGGTTTTCTTGCCATTTCCACGTGCGGAGATTAGGACTTGGTATCTTTTCAAGATTTGATAATCTTTTTTTGTACATGTGTTTGTTGTGAAATTTGAGGACAGATGAATTGTCCTGAGCATGGTAAGAGGAAATATAGGATATACCTAATCTTTTGGAGAAAATATGTTTTGGTCGTCCAGATAACCATCTAAAATATAACAGGTTAGCATGTGAAGTTTTACTATTTGTAAAATCAGGAGTAGTATCTTTATCTATGTATTCAATTTTAGGTTTGATATTATGAAAAATATTGGTTTTAAAAAATTGTGATTGGTGATTGACGCAAGCACGTCTATCACGTGACATAATAAAAGGAGAAGGAATGTTACATGTATCAGACTTAGAAAAATTGTCTGAATCTAAATGAATATGAGAACAAGGTGTAAAAATTCCAAAATAAAATCTATATTTTTTGTAACTAAAATTAAAAAAAGTTCTAGTGTAAATATTTCTGGTCGTCATCAACGAGCCACGTGATTCAATGATATTAATTCGGTCCAATAATTTGTTTTGAAGCATATTAAAATATTTTTGTTGGACACAGCGGGGTATAACTCTTTGTAGGGAAAAAAAGTGTGTGAGAATACAACTAATTTGGTATTTGTTATTCGGAAAGCCACTCATGTTATTGTAACTAATAGGTTTTGTGTTCATTTGATAATCATTTGTGTGTATCGTTAAGTGAATATTATTGGTGTTCGGGTTATGATCGGCGAGCTCAAAAAAGAAGCTCCTCGATCGACGAATTTCGTATATCTTGTTATAACCTGTTCTATTTGGTTTGGTCACGTGAAATTTTTTCAGGGAGACCTGTAAGGGAGTTTTTGAGAATTTTTTTTCCAAAAAAAAATTTTTGGAAGACATTTATAATAAAATATGGTATTAAAGGATAGTAAAATATTATATTATATTTAAAATATAAAAGTGTAAAAGAAACAAAGGTTTCAAGGGTATAATAGGATGACAGAAGAAATAAAAAAAAAACTCTTGTATAACTACTGGGTTGTATATTACGTTAGGGATGAAAAAAGACGTTGTAACTTGACTGTATAATTCTATTAAAAGTATAAACTTTTACCATATGTACACTACTTGGACAAAAGTAGCAGGAATTCATCATATTTTATTAATTACTCAAAAACATACATATTAATAATACTTGAAATTTTAATATGTAATAACATAGATAATAAAGAATATATATTCAAAATTTCATAGTTCTAGCCTTCATACAACTATGTTAATTAAAAAAAGAAATTTAGTAATTAGCAACAGTATTATTGTTTTTAAAATTTAATTTTCTTTCAATTTTTTATACAATCCATATAAAAACAAAAACTAGAAAAAAGTAATTTGATGTATATATATTAATTAAGAACCTGTACTGCCACATATTAAAATTTCTGGTCTCATTATTATGTATAATTCCAAATAAACTGACAGTATCAGACTATTTGTTTATTTTTATTATATAATATATAGATAATTATTAAAATTTCTTTCTGAGTTTTCTTTAATTAATGTAGTTGTATGAATGCTAGAATAATGAAATTTTGAATATATATTCTGCATTGTCTACGTCATCACATATAAAAATTTCAGGTATTATTATTATGTACATTTTCAAGTAATTAATAAATATGAATTCCCGTTACTTTTGTCCAAGTAGTGTATATACTAGAAGATATGGAGTGACTTATATATATTCACGAGTTGTTGTAAGTTAAAAAAAAAGTACTAGCTAGCAAAAAAAAGTGTAAAAATAACGTCTATTTTGTAATAATAAAAATATTCTACTGCGCCATTTTAATAGAAATTGGGTTTATCGGAAAGAGTTTTTTCACAAAAATTTTCAAGTCGCTGAGATAAATATAAACAACGCGGCCACTGCCATCACGTGACCATGTGACAAATTCATCACCTGTACTACGCGAGGTGGTGTGGTTAGTGTCTCGACCCGTATCCGGATCAATCCGGATTGATCCGGATTTTTTTTTTTTTCGGATATCCGGATTTTCACGGTTTTCATCCGGATTATAAACC